GCAAAGTGCCAAAAATATACCTGGCACTGACAGGAGGAACTTGAGAATCCTTACAGAGGACCACCTCTCCTTCCAATCCCCACTTTGTCACCGTGCTGCATCCTGGATCTCTCTCCTGTGGCTAGTCTTGAGTCCAGCCTCCAATGTCTACCCTCATCATTGTCCTCCCAGTATTTGAGGTGCAGAAGGAGCATAGAGATGAGCTATGAGAGTGTGACATTGTTTTCTCCCTGGTGGGGAGTACTGAGATTTTAGCCAATAGTGCATCAGGAATCAGAGAAAAAAGATGGTGGTGAACTTCGATGGAGTCATGCCGAGCTGCAATACTTGTGAGACATCCAGGTGTTGTGGTCTGACAAGCAGTTTAACGGGTCTCCTGAGAGACAAGTCAGGAACGAGGTGGGACAGAAATAATACACAGAAAACCAATATAAAGAAATGTAAAAATTAATAAACTGACAGAACTGGGATTCATCAGTGTGGTGGTGAACGTGGTGGGTGTGGAAGAGATTTCTCAGAAAGAGAAGCAAAGAAACAGGAGCAGGGATCCCTTACACGTCCGTTTTTCAGGGCTGAGAGAAGGGGAAGAGCCCGTGAGGAGGAAGGAACACGAGTGGGCAGGTGAAGCAGGAGAACAGGAGGGAGTGGTGGCAAGATAAAGTTTCAAGGAGGAGTGAGTAGGTAACAGCAGAGAATATACTGCAGAAAAGTGGAATTAGAGGAGCAATGATAAACCGTTAACCAGAATGCAACATTTTAAAAACGCCAAGGATTTTTCCTAATTTAGTTTTCATTGTTCAGCCTGATGATTCAGTTTTTTACAAAAACAAAGTGGTCCCTGCCATTGCCTCCACCGTGACCACCCAACAGATGATCTAAGGTGCTTTGTCTGTTGTCGTTCAAATCCTAGGTCTTATTATTGATGCCTTTGGAGAGCTAAGAGACCAGCAGGAGCAAGTGCGAGAAGATATGGAGGTAATGATCTCTGACTACCAAGACTTTGGCTCTGTTTTTATATCCCCATAGCACATGGTTTTCTAAACAATAGGTTCTGCTCTTAGGGTCATTCCCTGGCAACCGCAAACAAAGCTGGTCGTCCATGCCTGTCTGCTCTCCTCTCTGTGCATTTCTTCTGCTCCACTCCCTGTGCTCTGCACCCCACCCTGTTCCTCCCAGGCCTGCAGCCACCACCGCTGTTCCACGGGTGGGAGGGCAGGGTATCCTCAGCTAGCCAGGAGCTGGGTGTGTGACAGTATGGAGTACGTGGCCAATAGCTAAAAGCTTTAGAAAGAGGAGTATCTTTCCATGGTTCTCAACCAGAGACCTTGACCCTTTTCCCACCTGCCTGTAAAACCACGCCTCCTAATGCCTTTACCGCCTTTATTTTTTGTAGACTAAATGCTTCATCTGTGGGATTGGCAATGATTACTTTGATACGACCCCTCATGGTTTTGAAACACATACGTTACAAGAGCACAACTTAGCCAATTACTTGTGAGTATTCTGGTGGTTTCTTGGTTAATAGTTGAAGCAATTATGTTGTATAGTTTCTGCCAGTTTCTCTGAACAAGCAGAAGCAATCAGAAAAGAGCTTCCCCAAGTTCCCAATGCCCACGTTTGGACAGATGTTTGTTATGGATTGGGCTTGCTCTGAGCCAAGGACAGCCCTTCTACCTGTGAATCAGATCTCAGCCCCCTTCCCACCTTCTCAAGGACACGTAACTGCAGCAATTTCTTTCTCTACTGGATTTGTCCCTTCACCGTACAAATATGCTGCTATTATTTGTCATCTTAGGAAAGAAAAGAGTCTGTGACCCCACCCTTACCTCCAGCTACCGCTCAAGTTTCTCTCTCCCTTTCAGCCAAACTTGAAAACTGTCCATGCTCCATGTCTCCAGCTTCCCTCTGCCCACTCCAGACAGGCTCTCCTCCCCATCACATCACAAGATTTGCTCTTGTCACTCACCAGTGACCTGCATGGTCCTGAGTTCAGTGGTCAGTTTCCAGGCCTCACCATGTCTGTCCCCCACCCAGTAACACATCAGTAAGCTCCATGGGTGTGGGGAGCTCTGGGGGGTTGTGTTTTGACACTGCTGTATCCCAGCAGCTAGAGCAATGCCTGGCACCCAATAACTGAATACCTTACTCCTTCCTAAGGGAAAGGAGCCTATTGAGTGCCATGGGCTTCTTAGGTAACTTTTAACTTATTCCATAACTTACTCCATAATCAGAATCTTTTAAGGAAAGAAAAAAATGCTGGGCCCTGCAGCCTGGATGAGCCCTTCCTCTCTAGCTCTGTTTTATTGTTTCGGAAGTCCTAATCTTTGTGAGTTTAAGAGAAAAAATACAAGTTTTTTTTAGAAAAGAAGCTTAGCATACTCTTCCTTACAGCAGGAGTATTTATCATTTTCAAATCTCATTAAGAGAGTTCCCATCTTAATGGAGGTGATCGGGATGTATGGCTATGGGAAGTGAGCAGGTGGCCATATGTTCAGCCCTAGGGAAGACAGAAGAGTGAAAGGGTATTATCTGGGTGGGGACCCCCTTCTTTGTCTCCCCACAGACTTATCACTCTGTGTCCTCCACTAACAGTGAGCTGACGGGGCGAAAACCCAGCTTATTCATGTTTGAACCTCCCACCTAAAATAGTGCTTTGTCAGTTAAATGTGAGCCGAGAAAGGAGGAATGAACTGCATTGTCAGACATGGTAGATTGGCCGTACCTTCCTTCTTAATCTTGGAGAGAAGCAGGAGGAAGGAAATCAACACAGAGCTCCCACTGGGGGCCAGGACCTGGAGCTGTCCAATGTAAGAAGCCCGGAGAGTACTCGAGTACTCAGAATCTGGGGCTCCGGTCCTCTCCCCCCACCTCAGGAGAGTGCTCTTTCTTCTTTCCCTTCCTGACCACCAGCCTCACCATCCTTCTCTTGAAGGGCACGAGACGGTGGAAGCTGTCAGCCAATGTGAGCTCAGAGATCAGCCCAGCCCCCAGGGACACTCGCGTGTCACAGACACTGTGACACTTGGAGCAAGTGGAGTACGCTGGCCTCTCCCAGTTGTTGGATAAAAACAAAACTAGCCTTCGGGAGGAGTCAGAGCATCTTGATGAGATCAAATACTTTTCTACCCTTTTTCATGAAAAATATACTTGAGACACACAAGTGATTTCAATTCTGTGCTGTTATGATAAAGTAGCCCACTAAAAAATTGTATGAGAGTCTGAATACCATTTTATCATTTAAATTAGGATTTTCTAAACAAGAAAATGTAGCCAGAATTCTTCTCACACGTGATCTTAGCTCAGGAATTAGGGAGGGTAAAAAAGGAATTCTCACAAAAGGCCCAGTTTTGAGATTCATGTTTGTGTCACTATGCCCCATTTCCCCGATTCTGGAAGACACAGCAGATGCCACACAAACTTTTTTAACCCCTTCACACCAGTTCATTTGATCAGTTAGGAAATCTAAGTTCATTTACTCAAAGTTATCTAATGCTGTCTTTTTCTCATTTATTGTATCTTTTGTCCTTGTTCCAGGTTCTTTTTGATGTATTTGATTAATAAAGATGAAACAGAGCACACGGGTCAGGTGAGAAAATGTTTTGAAGTGCCTGTCATACCCCTGTGCTGCTAGAGCTCCCCTGGTTACCTCCAGAAACGGCCGCTTCCCTTGTAGTCCTTCAGGTGCTTGTTCAAGTAAAAGGACTGGAGTTAGTAAAGCAGAGGTTATATGCGTTTTCCTGCTGCTTTCTGCCTTATTTCCATCCCTTTGTGACTTAGGCAGATTTCTAGTATGTATCCAGGGGCAACCCGAATCTATTCCAAATGTCCTCCTGGCTATCCCTCCCAGCAAACTCTGGTATGTCTAAACCCTTGTGGTTACTGCCTCAGCAGAACAGCTGGAGGTGGGGAGAACGCCATAGAGAAATGGGCAATGAGGAGTGGAGCATGGGCGGTGCTGTAACAAAGAACAGGAGCAGCAGGAGAGCAGTGTGAGTGAAAGTATCTGTCACGGGGAATCCTGTGACTAAGGAGGAAAAGAAATGTAGAGAGAGAACAAAGGAGGAACATGTAAGCTATCAAATATTCAAACACGACTGGATTTGTGGCAAAGCTCCACGGCTCAGACACTTAGGAAGAGGCAGTTGGTTTTCCAGACCTAGCTTTGGCTCCACCAGCGTCTGCCCAAGCTAGCACTAAATGTTCCCTCCCGCCCATTTGTCTCATCAGTTACAAACGACATGGAAGCAGCCTATTGCTAATCTGTACATATTTTTAGAGACAAACATTGGATTGAGTTCTTTTTGGGTGGAATTATTCTCCTCCCCTGCCAGCACTGGCCGGATAGCTGGGGCGAGAGCCCCTAAGACCTTGCCAGTCTGGCCTCCTGTTTATAAACCCACAGCAGGAGTCCTAAAGGAAGACACAGAAAAAACTGGGCTTGTTTAAAAAGAAGTACCCTGTGTTCACATCCTTTCAGGAATCTTATGTCTGGAAGATGTACCAAGAAAGGTGTTGGGACTTCTTCCCCGCTGGAGACTGCTTTCGTAAACAATACGAAGATCAGCTTGGATAAACTGGAGTGATAGACGCTCCACGGAACGGGACAGTCAGCTTCCAGTAAAATACAGTCCTCCTTTTACAAGTCTGCAACATATCTGAAATGTGACATTTATTTTCCAAATGCCTCCTTAACAAGAAAGTGTTTGTTAAAAATCTGTGATATTGATTTGGCTTTTTGTGTCTAATGGACATACACTGTGGGAGATAACTTGTCAAAATGTTTTTTGTAAAAAAAAGGATAGCAAAGAAAGAATCCAGGAATCTCTTGTTGAATGCCTTCAGGGTTTTCAGTTCTAATGTAACGAGTTTGTTAGGATGGCAGCATTGAGGAAAAGGCTACAAAGGATGACATCTTAAGGCAATCTAATTTTTCTCATGGTACTTGCTAGTGAATGTAGGTACTTGCTAGTGAATGTATCCAGAATCAGCTTGAAAACTTTAAGCAGTTAAATAGAAAAAAAAAAAAAAAACTTGTCGACACTGAAATAGCGATTGTAAGTAAGTGCCTTAAAAACCTCTTTCTTTAGATATAGCTATGCAAGTTTTTAATGTTTGTGTTCTAGATGGACGGGTCCTCCACTAATTAGTTGTACTGATCTCACTTCTTTCTTTATGAAACTGTACTCGAAGGTTATTCATTCACATCATCATTTTTTTTTTTTTCAGTAACAGCTTGTCAACTGCTGTTATTAGAAGAAAAAAGTACTGTACTGAAAATTCAGGAAAAAAAAAAAATCATCTCCTCAATCTTTATGCTGAAATTGAGTAATGCTTTATGGTCCCTTGTAAGTAAGTAAGTAAGTAGTGAAGCTGCTACGTTTAGGTGACTCTCCTCAAATACAAATGAAGTGCCCACTGCAATAAAGTAATAATTAATAGACACCAACCCATGGTCTGGCCTCTCCTTTCTAATGTACCACTTCTTGTGGTTGCTATTACAGCCACACTGTGACTCAGGGGAAAGGGGATGTGAAACAAACAAAAACAGCCTAAAAGACCTGCTCGAGAAAGAGCGAAAAATCCATACAGCAGCGTTCGTTTGTTTATTTTATTTTGACCAATGCATGCCTTGTTTGCATCTATTCTCTCTTAATCAGCAGTACCTGATATGCTGGAAACACAGGCCATATACCATCGCAGTCACGTCCCCTGCCCTTAAGGAAATCATGTTAAGGAAATCATGTCATGTGTTTGTTTGACATGACGTCCTCAAACAAACACAGAGGTGGGCGTGTACAGGCTTGGCTTGGGGCATGCTTGTGAGTGACTTGTTCTTGAAGGACAGCCTTACTCACAAGGCAACCAAAATTTGGTTCAGGCACTTCTTTGCTTTTTTTCAGGAAATCATACTGTCCAACCAGTCTTCAAGCTCTTTCTCAGTAACATTTTTCGATGTACTTGGTTGCTCAGATCCCACGTTCTTCTCTTCAGTCACTGATGGTTTAACAGGAGCTGGGGAAGTAAAAGCAATGTTAACAACCTCACATTCGTCCCAAGAATTGAGGCCTACAGCTTCCCTAGGGTTTGTTCCATGATTGATATAGGTCAGCCCTAGTTATTATGTTCCTTACAACAAGGGGGGGACATTATGACGCCTGCTCCCTCAGAAGCTACAACACTAAACAAACGTGGTTGAGATTTACTCTTCTATTTACTCTGAAGTTGATTTTCAGTTCACTAGTTTTGTTTTGTTTTTTTAAAAACCAATGGCTCAATTCTCTTTTTACTAGTATAGCAATCCTGGAGAGTTCCTCCAGGTTTCCAAATGTGGTCAGTGGACATGGGCACCCTGTCACAGAGCACACACAAACTAGGAAGTGGTCGTCTTTAAAACTAAGATCAATGCAGCAAGAAGTATGAAGAGCTGGTTAAAACAGGCCCTGTTCAGAGAGTCGATTAACAGGGCTGCTGCTGAAAAGCTGGGGGCTACGTGTAACTTTTAATGCATTTTTATAGCAGGTGTGTGTTTGTTTGATTTCCAGCCCCAGGTGCAGCACTGCAACCAGGCAGGTAGCAGCTTTGGAAACTCAGCACATGGAGTCAGTCAGAAAGGTCAGCTCAAGGGGAAGCAGAGGTACCAGCCTAGAAACGGATGTCAGTGGACAACACTGGACCGAGGTCAGACACCAGGAAAGACGTGTGCGGATGCCGTTGGGGTGGGGCTGTTCTCACCAACACCCACGTGAAGAGGGATGGGTAATGAAATGACAGCTATACCTTCTTCCTCTTGGGCCACCGTCCTGTCTTTTTCCGATTTCAGGTCCTGAGATGTCTGATCTGGTAGGATGTCACCGCCCTCTTTTACAGGCGCATCTAAATTAAGCAGCAGATCGAGCTCTTCTTCCAAATGGTCTGCTTCCGTCTGCGGAGCGGAGGCAGGGTTCTGAGAACCCCTGGGAGGGCCTGGTGTGGAGTGCTCTCTACCCAGGTCCACAGAGCAGCTGGCTGCAGCAGACTTCAGCTCAGAGGCGGGCCCCACAGGCCCCTTTAACTGCATCCCCAGTCCTTTACTGTCATTGCTTCTTTTTGTTTTCACCTGAGGCAGCTCTAAAGGAACCGCAGCCTGAGAAAGGAGCATAATAACCTAGTCAGAAATGGGAACTTTGCCACGTGCTTCAGTACAAACAGAAACACAGGCCGACAACAAAGCCATCATATTGTGGGGCAGGACACTCAACTCAGACAAAGTTCACAAAACATCTCCTGTGCTGCTCCAGGCTACCTACAGGATCACTCACCTGGACGCATGCAATAACCTCCTAATCTCCCTCCCCTCCTCTAGCCTCTGCTTGCATATGCATACGTGCCTATACACACACCCACGACCCCACAATTCATCCTCCATTCTGTGGCCAGAATGTTCTTTGTTTATTATCATTAACCAAACCAAACCAGTCGCCGTCATGTGGACTCCGACCCACAGCAACCCTACAGAATAGAGTAGAACTGCCTCCTAGGGTTTCCAAGGAGCACCTGGTGGTCACTACGAGTTGGAATCGACTCAATGGCAATGGGTTTTTTATTATTATCATCATCACATTACTATGATTATTAATGCACATCTGACTGGCTCACTATCCTTTACATTTCAGTTCAAATGTCCTCGAACTTTAGATCTTAACTTCTCTCTCACTTCTTCAGGAAAGCCATTTCTAACCACTCCAAAGTAGATCTGGTTCACCTATTATGGACTCTCATATAGCACACTGCACGTCTCCTTCATGGCACTTATAACAGTCTGTTTATATGTGGGGTTATTTGATCACTATCCATCTTTCCCAGTAGATGACGCTCCATGGCGGAAGGGTCCCTGTCTGTCTGCTCACCATTGTATCTCCAGTGACGACTAACAGAATCTGGCACATAAATAAATATTTTAAGTAAAATAATAGCCAGACTTTTATACTTTACATTTCATTCAAGTCTATTCTACTTGATCTTTAAAAATGTTTCAAATACAATAAATGAAAAAAAAAGGTAAAAATTATTTCATCCTCTCTTAAACCTTTACAAAACCCTCAGCTTTATGATACGGAAAGCAGAGTGTGCGCCATCTTGCAGAGAAATGCTCTTCCTTCTCCTGCCCTGACCCACACCAGCTGACAGATGCCCTCAGGGTTTTTACCTGGACCAATTCGGCAGCAACATTGAGTCGGAGTGACAGAGGCAGTTCTTGAAGAGCTTGAACCAGTGACTGACAATCCACATAAAAGGCTGAATTCTGTATTTTAAAAAAAAGAGAACGTGGACATGAGAACATGATGAAATATGACCTTTGGAAATAAAAGAGCAGAAGATGATAGAAAGTAACTGTCAATGAATCATCCACTGGAGTTTCTTTCAGACATTTTAGACATTCATGTCACCCTCGATATGGCTATTATTTCTATGTCTCCACCTTAGGAACAGCAAAACCAAGACCACCTTCTTGAGGCATACCTCACACTGTCCAGACACCCTCACGCCGAGGCCGCACAGTAGGGTCCACAGACCTGTCAACTGGAGGCTTTTGGAATGGTTGGCAAGTTGAAAGAAAAAAGAGCATTTACTGAAATCTGAGTGGACACCTCCTCCACCTTCAGCTTGCTGGCTTTGAGGACAGGAGGGACGAGTGGTCTCGGCAGGGAGAGCAGGCTCACACAGATGAAGGAGCGGTTGAGGTCTGCTTCTCTGGAAACCCACCCTCTACCCAGGAGGACTCTGTGTGAGGCCCCTTCCCACTCATAAAAATAAAGTCATATCGATCCACTGGCCTCACACATTGGTACTATTTGGAAACACATTCCAGATTATCTCATAGCCCCTGAACAGCTGCTTCTAGGTACCCTGACCACCCAAGAGAAAGAAAAACACCAAAAGGTAGTCACAATGATCTCACATACAAAAGGCAAACACCCCCTGATGTCTCCAAGAACTATCACAAGGCCCAGCGAGGGCCGCGTCTTATCCTGCCACCACAGACTTCAGGTTAGAAGAAAACCCAGTGGTTGTCTAGTATACTCTCTGGCCCAGTGCAGGAATCCTCCAGTCGATGGGTTCACAATGCCCTAGCTGGACAGTCATTCCCGGTGGGCCTGAGGAGCCTGCCCCAAAATCCACACAACAGGAGCACGTAGAGATTGAAAGAACAAGTGGGCTTTCCTGCTCCCATTCTGAAATTCTACCTGCGATGGGAAGCTCTTAGGGAAGCAACGCTGGGGGCACCCAGTGTGCACCTTACCCAGGAAAAAGAAACTTAATTCAAAAACTGGCGTGTATTTGATGAACAGGCAGGAGGAAGGTAAGAAATAAGGGCCCTGTTGACAAGGTGGGAAACATGTTCGTGCCCTTCCTTAGTCCTGAACGTAGCACATCCAGTGCTGTGAGCCACACCAGCACGGCTAATTCTTTGTTTTTCCGAGTTTGGAAAAACTCTCTCAAACCCACTAGGAAGTTGTAATCCTGGATGCTTACCACACAGGGAGCTAAGTCACTACATTGCAAACCCTTCCCGTGACTCCCTGCCAAGGTGTCTGCAAAGCCACACTGCGTCACCACCCTCTTCTGTCTGCCTGTAAGAGTGAGCACTTCTGCTCTGCGGTTCCCGCCAGCCAGTCACCCAGTGCTCCCTTAGCTCCCTATCAAAGGGCCACGGAGCAGTGCTGGGGTCTAGGTAAAAGCGTCCAGACTTCCCCGGCCCTCTCGTGCATCACGTGCTACATGACTACAAGGTACATGATAAGCAAGGACAAGTTTCTGAGACCACCCAAAGATACAGGGAACAGCCTGGCTGTGCTTACAAACCATGTTCTGAATGACGTTCAGCTGATACCCCCACTGGAATGTCTTCTACCCCCCAGATCTCATCCCCACCCATCCAAGGCCCGGCCAACATTGCATCTCCTCCCTCCATGATGCCTTCCCAGACACCTAAAACCACAGTGATTTCTCCTTGGCCCAGAACTCACCATGGAAATCCACTTTTTTTGGGGGGGTGTGGGGGGGGGCACCATTTTGTCCCCTAGAGGATTAAAGCTGACTGCCTTATATATAAAGCTAGCTAAAATGACTTGCTTATAATACTAAAGCATGAATTTTAAAAACAGGTATAATTTGAATAATAACCACGAATTAGCTTTTGACATCACCACTCATATAGCTACATGTTTAAAAAAAAAAAATCGGTGCATTGTTTTTTGGCTCCTATATCTATGTGGCCAGCCCTGATGGGGACTTCCAATCGGAGTAGGTGGCCTGGCTTGCAACGCCTGGCCATTAATAGGAGCCGGGAACACCCACTGTGGAGACGTTGTGGGATAAAGGTGCAGACAGAAGGGGGCGCCCTGCTGCCTTCTCTCCTGTATACTCCGGGGCTGGGAGAGAGAAGCCAGCCAAGACCATGGAGGAAAGCCCTTCCACCCACTTCCCTGGCGTCAGTGAGCACAGAACCCTGTCTGGGTGCTGAGAATCTATCATCTCCCAGGTTCCTCTCCAGCCAGGAGCATGAGCAGACTCTGACACTCAGTCTCTGCTGAGAAAAGAACCACCGTTAACTCCACTTTGCAGCTAAAAATGGCAGACTTTAACCCGACCATTACAGCTTCCTCAGAAGTCACAAATACAGAAGTCTATGTTTGTTTTGGACCCAGGGACCACGTGTACACCTTACAGCTAAAGTGCCCGAACTTGGCAGCGCTCTGGAATCAGCTGGAAGCTTTCTGAGACAGATTCTCAGGCTCACTCACAGAACTGGGCTCTCGGGGGCCTGCGGGCCTGGGGGCCTGGGAGTCTGCACCGTGGAAAACCAGCGTTCAGGAAGCACTGCCTATCACCAGCACTCAGCGGCTGCTCAACGGAGGGCAACTGAGTAAAAGTTACCACACATCAACAAAGAGGAAAAGCAGAATAAAGAGTTTCAGCTGTGTCTAAAAAATACTAGCCCTACTTTCTTGCCCAAAGAAGTTTTCCCATTGGATCCCTCCCTCACATGTCCCCGCACCGTCCAAAAGAAAGACAGGAAGATTCCTGCTTAAATAAGTGAATTGTGGTGTTTCAAAATTCCACTCCTGGGTCTAAGGGACCAACTCCCCTGCGGTTAAGAGGCCAGCGTGTCAACGCAGAGCCCCTGACTTGCCGCGCTGTGTCCTCTACACCCGGCACGGCTGCCACCCAGGAAGGAGCCAAATCCCTCTTGCTGGCGGGGGTCCCTGTGAGGACCGAGAAATGCCCAACCGTCAGATCCCAGTCCCTTTAGGCTGCAGACAAAATGTATTTCAACTTTTCTCCCCTCTCTCTGCCTTGTGTCGCTGGGTGCATGGGGACAGGAGTGGCATGAGGAATCCAAAAGAAAACCACCACTTTGTCTCTCTCAGATAAGCAAGAAGAAAGAGAAATGAATGAGGAGTTAAGTAAGACAGGACAGGAAACAGTTTTGATGGGGAAACAATGAATTCCGTTTCGGACGCATCCTACCAATACCTCAGACTCAGAATGTTCAAAATCAGACTTAACCTTCTTCCTGCTCTTCTCTTGCTCCATGAATGACATCACTCACATAGCTACTTGAGCTAGAAAGTTTACAGCTATTTACAATCTTTCTTCTCCTTGTGTCTCCTCTCTGGCCAGTGACCACAATCTACCTCGTCCTCCGCTGAGGTGGTGTCTGTCTGTAACCCCCTTTCCACCCTCACTGCCCTGCTTAGTCAGGCCTCATCCCTTCCCGTTTGCCCAACAGAACATCCTCCTAACTGGTTTTCCTGCCTCCAGCTTCTCATCTGTTCAACCACTCCTTTCCAGTACTGCTGAGGTAAAATCTAGCCATTCTGAATTTCTTGCTTGAAAACTTTAATATCACTAATAAAAAGTAATATTAGTTATAAGAGCTAATGTTGAGTGTTTCATATGTTAGAAAGTTTACTAAAAGGCTTTATATTTATTATCTTGTTTAATCCTCATTACGACTCTGAGTTGTTTTATTATTAGCTCCACTTTACAGATAAGAAAACAAAAAAATTGCTCAAGTGGCAGAACCAGGGTTTGCTCTCAGATGTGTCTCCAAAGTCCACACTCTGGCCCACATGCTCAGCGGCCTCCTGAGGACAATGAACACCAAGCTGCGGGTACTCGAGCCCCTGCTCACAGGCTGAGACGTACCTTTTAAGCGTCCTCCTCTGGGAATTGCACACCCTGGCATACACCCCACTCTGAGCACAGCCTGTTCTCTGAGAGCACCTCAGTTGTCATGTTCCCGCAGACAGGCCCTACCAGATCACACTCGTCCACCAAGTCCAATTCCAATGACCTTTTCCCCATGGTACCTTCCTCAATTCTTTCCAGCCCCAAATGGCTTTCTCCCACAGCATGACTTCATTTACTACACTACTGATTTTATGTTGCATTCCTTCTCACTTACTGTGTAAATAATTACTGAGCAGCTACTGTCTGCAGAAGTGCGGGACCTAGGACACTGAGCAAGATGGTGTCTGGTTTAGTCATCCCTGAACACGCTGCACCAATAAAATATCTGTGAGTCCCTGGGTGGTGTCATCGGTTAAGTGTTCGACTACTAACCGAAAGGTTGGCAGCTCAAACCCACTAAAAGGACCCTTGGAAGAAAGGCCTGGCAACCTGCTTCCGAAAGGTCACAGCCTTGAAAACTCTATGGAGCACAGTTCTACCGTGACACACTGTGGGGTCGCCATGAGTCGGAATCAAATTGATGGCAACTGGTTTGGGTTTTCTTGGTTAATAAAATATCCCCACCACATGCCTGTCGGTCAGCCGTGCTGTGGTGGCTGCCTGTTGCTATGATGTTGGAAGCTATGCCAGCGGCATTGCAAGTCCCAGCAGGGACACCCATGGTGGACAAGATTCAGCAGAGCTTCCAGACGAAGACAGACTAGGAAGAAAGGCCCGGTGATCTACTTCCAAAAAGTAGCAAAGCCGATGGAGAACAACAGTAATACTGTCTGATATAGTGCTGGACGATGAGCCCCCTCGGCTGGAAGGCAGCACCTACGAGTCACAACAATGGACGCAAACACACCAACAATCACAATGATGACGCAGGACTGGGCAACGGTTCATTCTGTTACACAGGTCGCCATGAGCTGGGGCCGCCGTGACAGCAACTAACAACAATGAAGTATCCGGTATATAACAAGGACTTAGTGTTCTGATGAATAAAGCAGCTCGGAATTGTCGCAGAATGTCTGAAATATTTTCTGATAGCCAACGTGGTCCAAAAGGAGTTGAAATACAAGTTGCTGGACTTTTATTCTTCATCCATCTCAGCTGACCTGCTTTCAGCTGGTCCTAGCATTCTAAGCTGCACTTCAGGCTCATGCCCAAACAGACTCAAGCAAAGACAAATCATGTAAATGCTCAATTTTCTCTATATTATCTAACCTGCTCTTCGTAAAGGGCTAGGCAGTTGTTTTATAAGTGACTCCCCTGCGCGGTCTGCAAAACGACCCATAAAACTGGCCCAGAGGTAAGATGAGCCCTCTGCAGCAGGTATACTGAACTGGTAGCAGAAAGGGGAGGTGGAGGCCTTACTTTTCTGGTCTGTTGCTTAGCCTTCTCCCTGAAGCTGGGGGCAGATTCTCTATTTTATAGGCAACATCGAGGAACATGGAATCCCTGAGTGATACAGTTAACACACATGGTTGCTAACCAGAAGGTTGGTGCTTCCAGTCCACCCAAAAGTGCCTTGGAAGAAAGGCCTGGAGATCTACATCAGGAAAATCAGCCACTGAAAACCTACTCTGACACTCATGGGGTCACCATGAATTGGCATCAACTCGATGGCAATTTTTTTTTTTTTTTTGGTTTATCAAGGAACATATGACAAATCACCATTAATTCTTTGTCCATTTTAAAATGGTGAGGATACCTAGTCATGTCTTATATGCAAAGGATCCATGAAATCCTGCTTGGAAAATAACCAGAACTTCCCGGGAAGAAAATACGGCATAAACACAAAGCAAACTAAGTGTTTGGGTTTATGGATTCACTGAAAGACTTCTAAGATGTTCATTTCTTATTTTATCCCTTTATTCTCCCAATTATAGAAGGAGAGTTATTTAAAGCTATAGGAGAATGAAGGATTTTCTCATGTAACACCGAAAACTGTTCAGGAAAAAAAAGAATTTTCAACTCTAAAGGGAGTTGTTACGGAGTAGCAAAAGAGGGAACGCCCAATGGCAAAGTAATCCACTCACACTCATGATTATAAACTTCCCACCTTGTAATCTAGTTTACATGCGCCATTCACACAAATGGCCGGGTATAAAGGCGAACTCTAGCTTCAAGGACCTGAAACACTTATTTAGGTAACAGACTAAGCTGTGCGTGAATTACCAGACTTCTCCCTGTGTGACTCTGTGTCAACAGTAACATAAACGGTGTCAGCCTCCAGCCCGAGAAGAGCCCATCAACGTTCAGGACGAGCTTCCCTCTTACCTGTTTTGGACATGAAGCTTCACCGTCCCACTCTTTCTCCTCAGCAAACCGGAACTGGGAGAAGGAGTCCCCTAGGAGGAGAAAAAAAAGTATGATTTTATGTAAAAACCATAAAATTCTCAGTTCTCTAGGTTTCCCTGCCTCCAAAAGCAAAAGCACCATTTCTGAAGAGCTAAATTCCCCAAATTCAATGCTATCATTCAAAAGAAGCTCTTGGCTTCCCCAGTTTACACAGTAATCTGTGAATGGTGGGTGCTCAAAAATATTGTTGGCAACTGAATCCATTGTTTCATTCGACCCTCGGTAGCCACCATCCTGAGAACTACTTGCTTCTTGAGAGACAACTATACAGTGAAGGCCAGCAGACATAGCCATTCGCCCATATTCGGCATATTTTCATCTCACCTCCTTAATGTATGCAGGGAAATTTTTATGCGGGGCTGGGGGGAGGTAAGCAAGGCAGAAAAGAAAAGGAAGGGCAAGAAATGCAACCGAAGGAAAGCAGGTTCGAGATTGATCCACAATATAACAGATCTAAAATATCTCTTCAAGGAGAGGTTACCAACCTCCACCATCACTCCAAACGTTACCTAATAATAATGTGAAATGCAAAATAAAATTTGGAGAATGTGCCTTAGATCAAGTTAATGGTACACTGCTCTGAACTATTAGAATAAGGGAGCATGAACAGGTAAGATCATTCCATACATACTTCACACTCCTTCCTACCATCAGCCCTGTTTTTATTCTTTCCGCTTGTTTGGAAGATCTACCCACTGCTAGTCATTCGTATCCTATTTATATTTCAAGTCTCAGGTACACAGCCACTTCCTTCTGTGATACCTCTCGAGATCTAACCATAGAATCTGTTCTTTACTTCTAAATTAACAGAGGGGAAAAAAAGAAGTAAAGAATTCAAAAATAAAGAGATGGACAAAGACAAAATTAGAAACTATCACCATTTTCAAAACATACAATATTACACAATTATTATTATATTATTATTACACACAATATTATTGTGTTTAATATTATTGTGTAATATTAAACACAATATTAATATTTGACAAAATCAAATTCAAGGTAGCAGCACCAAGGAGAACACTTTTTATCATGAGAAAGGGTAAAATCACTACTCTTATTCACTGGCAACTCAGTTTGATCCCTTAAAACTAACGATATAAGAGGACCACGTGAACCAGAACCTCCACCAGCGTGAGCGCAGAAGAACTAAATGGTGCCTGGCTACCACCATTGACCACTCTGACAGCAGTCACAACAGAAAGTCCTGGACAGAGCGGGAGTTAAATGTAGAACAAAATTCTAATTCACAAAAAAAGACCAGGCTTACTGGTCTGACAGAGACTGCAGGAACCCCCAAGAGTATGGTCCCTGGACACTCTGCTAACTCAACACTCAAAGCACTCCTGAAGCCCACTTTTCAGCCAAAGATTAGACAGGCCTATAAAACAAACAATAACCCACGTGAGGAACGTGCTTCTTAGTTCAGTCAAACATACGAGACCAAATGGACGACTCCTGCCTAAAAGCAAGACGAGACAGCAGGAAGGACAGGAAAACCGGATGAAGGGACACGGGGAAAGTGGGGTGGAAAGGGAACGAGTGCCGTCACATTGTGGGGATCGCACCCAATGTCACAAAGCAATACGTGTATAAATTTTTGAATGAGAAACTAACTTGAGCTGTAAACTTTCACCTAAAGTACAATAAAATTAAAAAAAGAAAAACTAATGATATAAAGGGTCTGAGAATAATATTATTAACAACATTGCCTTTTATGTATATGTGAGTGTATATATAAGTGTATGTGTGCATGCATGTACTGCGATTATGTGTATGTACTTTATACCCATGCAACATTAATTTTTAAAAAGAACTATAATAAGGTTATAAAAAACCTTAATAAATTCTAAAATGTAGCAGTGATACAAACCATATTTGTAGGTGATAATGTAAGTAAACAGAAATTAATTACAAAAATAAAAATAAGCAAAAAACTAAATCCTTTAGAAATTTAAAATTCTCTCCCACATGACTTTTTGGGCAGAAGACATCAAAACTCAAACGGTAGCGTTAGAATATAGAAAAGCCTAATAAATACAAATCAACCCGTAAGAAATGACTACACTTGTTCTCAGAGAAAAAGTGCGTTTGAAACACTTTCAATCATCTATTTTACAAAGCAAGAAAAAGTGATTACAGCACTCGGCTGCTAATCAAAAGGTCAGCGGTTCGAAACCACCAGCCGCTCCCACGGAGAAAGATGTGACAGTCTGCCTCCATAAAAGATTACAGCCTTGGAAACCCTATAGGGCAGTACTACTCTGTCCTATAGGGTCGCTGCGGCTCAGAATGGACTCAATGGCGGTAGGTTTCGGGTGATCATTCTCTTCCAGAAACAAAGCTGAAATTGGTGTGCGTGGAATGAAAGCTGAGGTACAGGTGATGCTGAGACAATTTTGTTTTACCTTGAAACTCAACTACATTTCTCTACTGCTACATTTCTAGAGTCAAAATTAAGAACAGTTTTTTTTGATCAAATAATTGTGTGAAGCAGCGAAAGTTTAAAAAATTGGAAAAAATATAAGGGACAGCAACTATCTCTAGTGTGTTTCTGAAAATACTCAGAAAGAATGTCTCCAGCAGTGCACAACGCTTCCATTTCTGGGACAGCTTCAGGAAAACTCACCACATCAAATAAATCGCCAAGTCCTGGAGTTGACAAGGAGACAAGTCTTCACCTAATCGGTTACTATTAGAGAGGACAACAAGCTTAACTGCTGAGTGGCAACACTGCCATCAGCAGTACTTGTATTATGGAAGAGCTGGCCAAACAATATTTTGCTTCTCTCCCCACCTCAGTTGAAAGCTAGCATCTATTTAGTATGGAAATGTGGAGTACAGTGTAGTGACTGCAGGCGCCATCTAAAAGCTGAAAACAGTGGTGAGAAATGGGTATGCCGTATGTCAGAATTAAATCTGGCTGTTAAGATCTTCTGTAATAAAATCTTAATAATTTTGCTGAAATTTCAGATTTTTTTCTTACATGCCAGAAGCCCATTCTATAATAGTGACATTTAGCGTTAGCTTCAGCCAAATATGATTTAACATTTGACTGTCCAAAATATATATTTGGTGTCCCCCTAATATCCAATTTCTAAAGTTCTATGAGGCCATTTTAAAAATCAGGTAGCTCTATATGTAGTGACACAGAAAGATACCCATTATCTCAACTGTTACGTGAAAAAATCAAGCTTTAATACAGTCTGATGCTGCTATCTGCAAAGCAATAAGTCTAGACAATTATACACCTATTTTAAGAATGATTATCGCTCAGAAGGCAGGATTCAAGGAGACTTTTCCTTTCTGCATAATACATTTTCCAGTTGGATTTTCTTTTATAAACAACAAACACACATTACTTTTGGAACTTGAGAAAAATAAAGAAATCTAGGGATGAATAAAAAGCTAAAGTTTCCTGAGGGCAGGCAAGGATCTCTCAGTGCATTTAAGACAAAATATCCACAGATAACAAAAGTTGGAATCACAGCTGTCATTCATTCTAATCTTTACTTCACAGAACTATGAAGAACTTTAGTTCTAGGGGGGCCATGTGGTCTGACCAAACCACAGAGTTAATTAACGGCTGAACACCAAGATCTCTTGGCTCCCAGCATCTTATTATGCCTATAACTGATAAAGCTCTTTCCACTACGTCTATACTTCCCAGCTGTCTTTTAGTTCCCCAGAATAAAAACAAACGCTCAATACATATTTTATGACATTTAATATGCTAATATTTGATATATTGACAATGCTTGAAGATACCAAAATCGAAACTAAGAAAATGAATAAACTTAGGACAGGTTATTTGTATGACAAAAGAGGTCTTCATTTTGAGACTAACGAGGTACAGGAGTCCAGTGACAAGGGCCAGAAGGCAGAAGGGGACAAGGGAGCTGGTGATAGGGAACACAAGGTTGAGTAAGGATATTGTTGATGTGTTGTGAGATTGTTGACCATTGTCATAGGGCAACATTTGTAGTAACTGTTAAATGAGAAACTATTTTGTTCTGTAAGCCTTCATCTTAAGTGAGAATATC